TGTACAACGTTTCGACAAGGTACCTGATGATGACAAAACCTTGTCGAAACGTTGTACATTTGCTGTTATATTAAAGTTTTTCTTCATTACCCATTCAAGCCGTCTCCAGCCATTATTACTTGTAATACCTTTTAAATATGATAAAACAAAATTAACACAATCAAACTACAAAGAGAGAATACGGTACAATAGCTAGCCTACACTTTATCATATTTTAGGTTACGCTCGAACAAAATCAACATTAACAAACTCGAATGGGAGAATATGGACCAATAGCTAGCTTACAATTTTATCGTGTAATATGATCAAACAAAGACAACGGTAAGAATATAGAAAGAGAAATTATGAACCAGCAGCTACCCTACATTTTATAGTATTTAAGGATACGATAAAACAAAACTAAACAGTAACAAACTACAAAATGAAAATGTGGACAAACAGCTACCTTACATTTTATCGTGTTTAAAGTTAGGCTCAAACAAATCCAACAGAAAAAGCTAATAAGGGAGAAAGTGGACCAACAGCTAACATACAATTTATAGTGTTTAAAGTTATAATCAAACAAAATCAACAGTAACTAACTCGAAAGGTTCTATGGACCAACAGCTTACCCACATTTTGTCATTTTTGAAGTTATGATCAAACCAAATCACCCATAACAACTTCGAAAGGGAGAATATTAATTAACGGCTTGATTACATTTTATTGTGTAAGGATAAGATAAAACAAAGCCAACTGTAACAAACTAGAAAGGGAGAATAGAATATGAACCAAAAGCTAGCCTAGAATTTATCATGTAAGGATATGATCAAACGAAATAAACAGTAACAAACTAGAGAGGGAGAAAATGGACCAATTGCTAGCCTAGATTTTATCACATTTAAGTTTATGATAAAAAAAAAATAACAGTAACAAACCAGAAGGAGAAATTATGGACCAACATCTTACTTACATTTTATAATTTTCAAAGTTGTGATCAAATAAAATCAAGACTGACAAAATTAAGAGAGAATAAGGACCAACAGCTAACTTACATTTTATCGTGTAGAGATAATATCAAGCAAAAAGGAACAGTTACAAACTAGAAAGGGAGTATGTGGCTCAACATCTAGCCTGCCTTTTATTATGTTTAAGGATATGATCAAACAATACCATCAGAAACAAACAAGAAATGGAGAATACAGTCTAGCACCTAGTCTGCATTTTATCACGTTTAAGGATATAACCAAACAAAATGAACAGTAACAAACTAGAAAAGGAGAATATGCACAAACAGCTTTCCTAAATTTTACCACTTTTAAAGTTATGATCAAATAAAATCGATAATAACAAACTAAAAAGGGAGAATATCGACCAATACGTAGTCTACATTATATCGTGTTCAAGGTCATGATCAAACGTAACGAACAGTAACAAACTAGATAGGGAATATATCAAACAACAGTTAGCCTACATTTTATCACATGAGGATATGATAAAAGAAAACGTACTAGGAAGGGAGAATATGGACCAACAGCTAGCCTACAATTTTATCGTATAAATATAAGATATGATCTAACAAAACGATCAGCATCGAACCAGAAAGGAAAAATATGGACCAATGGCTTACCTACATTTCATCATGTTTAAAGTCATGGTCAAACAAAATCATGACTAACAAACTATAAGGGGACAACATGGATCAACAGCTAGCCTATATTTTGTCATCTTTAAGGTTATGGTGAAAGGACACGAACAGTATGAAACTAGAAAAGGAGAATATCAACAAACAGATAATCTACTTCTTATCTTGTTTAAAGTTATGATCAGACAAAATTAACAGTCACAAATTAGAAAGGGAGAAGATGTACCAACAGCTGCCCTACATGTTATCGTGTAGGGATATAATCAAACAAAACCAACAATAACAACTAGAAAGGAAGAACATGGACCAACAGCTAACCTGCATTTTATCATGTTTAGTAAAATGATCAAATAAAACGAACAGTAACAAATTAAAAAGGGTGAGTATGGACTAACAGCTAGCCTACATTTTACCATGTTTATTAAAATGATCAAATAAAATGAACAGTAACAAATTAAAAAGGGTGAATATGGACCAACAGCTAGCCTACATTTTATTACGTTTAAAGTTATGATTAAACAAAATCAACACTAACAAACTATATGGAGAGAATATTGCCCAACAGCTAGCTTACATTTTATAATGTTTAAGGTTGTGATTAAACAAAATGAATAGTAACAAACTAGAAAGGGAGAATATGGATCAACAGATAGCCTACAATTTTATTTTGTAAGGATATGATGAAATAAAACGCACAGTAACAAACAAGAAAAGGAGGATATAAGCCAAGGTCCAACAGGGGCAACTTACCATGTTTAAGGATATGATCGAACTTCCACTCGTTAAGAGATGAATGATTTAGTAAGATATATGAATGCTGTATCGCCAAATTTTATTCACGAATTTAAAAAAAATGAAAATTTAATGTTATTTGAAAAAGTAAGGCATTCTCAGTGGCAAGAACTGATTTTCTTTCTATCGGACTTTCAGTATTTTTCCTTTAACAGCGTAGAATTACATCTCATTCCCATATCAGTATGTTGAATATAATAACAATATTTGATACATCACGTGATACAAAGCAAGATAGTGAGTGCATTGCAAGGTCACTTGACAATTTTGCCATAAACTATTCACTGACATTTAGTAACTATTAGGTTTGCCAAGTATTCTAAAGTTGGCTCTCTCTCCTAATATTTAACTTCTTCTCTCTCGTTTATGGTTTGTAATTCTTCTGATTTGGAGTTACTGTTATTATCTTACAACGTACACATCTCTTCAGACTTCCCGTTTCATACACATTGATCGGGAATAGGAACATTCACTAAAGTAAGACAAAAAAAAAAAAAGAGTTACAGATTTCCATGTTGGCTATAAAATTTGGGAAATGTATAAATTAAAACTTTTAATTCTTAGTCGAGTTTAGCTGTGATTCTCTACTGTTATGCAAGAAAACTGTAGATTAGTATGTACAAATTTAGATCTCACAGCTTGTCACAGGCTTGTGTGAAAGCATTTCTCTTTCACTTTCACGATTATTTTCAGTATTTAATTACTAATACTATTTAAAAATGAAAAATTAATACAATCACCGTAAAAAAAAACTCAGTTGATAATTATGAAATAGTCACAGAAGAAGAGCATAGCACTGGCTGTACGTGTCGATAGAATAAGTTATGTTCTTACTCAAACTCATATACATTTATAATATAAACATTTATTAAGTATAGACTATAGTCCACAAGACTTGTCATGTCGGACAGATGTTTACAACGCGACTGCACGACAGTGTAGGCCTATACTGTGTACAAACTGTTGGTTAGAGGATCAACTGAAGCTATCTGATATATTTCAGAGTACGTGTTTAGTTTCAAAATGCACAATTTTCAATAGCTCTTTAAATTTAAAACACATTTGGAGGTCAAATAACCGCCAGTAAAGCATCACTCTTACATCAGTACGACACAAATACAACGAAAGAATACAAACCAATGAAAGTCGGCATTTTCCTACACACTCCGATTATGTTACCATACTGAACACTGTTGGAATTGCCTATTGGTAATAGTAGGTGACGAACAGTGGTTACACTTTTGGCATAGCCGTTGCACGTAATTTCTCATATTCAAATTGAAAAAAAAAAACTGCTTCAGTCCATATTAAAATTAATTGCAATATATACAGATTTCACATCGATATTTTCAACACAAGTACAATTATGACTACAAGTTCTAGGACTCATAAAGCCGTTTTATGCAACTGTTTTTTCAGGCGAGCAACTGCTTCGATCGACGAGTCAGAAACAACTGTCGGCTGCACGCCCTAAGCTATATTCACAGTCATGCGCAGAAAAGACTACTTGATTGAGTCCCAGGAAAGACTCCACGAACGTTCAAACGGAAAGGGCAGAAACGGAAACGTTTACGATAGTACGAGAAAGATGTGCTAGTATACCTTCATAACCATAAATTATACTGCAAATCAACAGTTCATATCGTTCATTGTTTCCAAATATTATGGGTTTAATATTACCCCAACTGAATTCTGAACTGATAAAACATCTGGTTTTAGACAATTGTTATATACATGTGTGTATGTAACTTTTTTCCCCCAAACTGGATGATATATGATTTAATTATGTCTGTTGTTTGTTATCATTACTTATTTGTTAATCTCTTTAAGCGTGAAATTTACCTTCAGTACGAACTAATACCATGTGTTTAGATGTATCAAACGAACAACGTGACATTTCGTTATGTACCTGGTCGTATAGTATCATATGTCAAACATGACATTCATTTTGTACTAGAAGTCAGGTTATAACACTAGTACAACATGATTGTTCGTTTTGTAATAGAAATCAGGTAGTATCACATGTAAAACACGACCGTTCTGTACCAGAAGTCAAGTAGTAACACTAGTATACTGTTACGACAGCGGAAGTCACGTGACGCTAGTACCACATCATGAACTTCTAGAAAAATCATGCCCCTTCGTGAAGCCTCGAGTGTTTATTAGATGTACGGTGCTTTTGTATATAAGACCACCAAGAAGTGACGGCAACAATGTAATTGAATTGCAGACAGAGTTAGAGACGGACAGTTGGGTCGAGCGCGTGTGCCCTTCGTTGTGAATTATAGTGTTTGTTTAAATGATAGCGTGACCTTGGAAATTAAGTGAATTTCAAAGTTGTATTGAGAAGGAATAAACTAGTTTTATTTAAGAGAGGACTTGTGTCGCTAACGTCTCATTGGAAAGATATTATACGGGAAATTAACTAACGACCAGAGACGAAACAATACAATTTAACAGTACATAGCCTGGGCTCTTATAACGTCACAGTTCATTCTATAGCATTTACAACGTGACAATTCTTTATGTACCAGAAGTCAGGTAATATCACATGTGTCAGTTCATTCTGTAGTGTCACATAAATAAGGTTTATATATTACCAGAAATAGTAAATAAACAAAACAAATACTCCATGCCAGTGGGGCGGAGTAAGAGTCAGCTGGGCTTGGGGCTAAATATTTCTACTGGGCCTCTTATGATCGCGTCTAAAGACTAAGGTAAAATAAACTAAACCTCAAAATATGTTTTACTTTTGGAAACAATGGGAAAATAATACCCACACATTTGCAAGACTCGTTTACAGATTAATGAAAAATGTTATATGTTTCTTGAATAGGAAAAGTGGTACTCTAACGCAGACAAAATTTGCATTTGGACAACAAAGCATATTGACAGAAAAAACAAATACACACAAACTCATCAACTCACGCATATATACACACACACACACGCTTACATCACACCGGTACTCACATAGTATGCCCAGTAGTAGTAGCAGATTATGTCATCTATACTTCCTGGCTCTTTTTGTAGCAAAGGCATTTATGATCTGTTTGCTGTCAAGTGATTTTAACAAGTCCTTTTTAATGCACAAAAGTGGTCGCATATCATTCTCAGCATACTTTATTCCTTGGATTCAGATGGTTTTTCAACGAACCCTACTTTGCAGAAGGCGGCATATTGAGCAATTGTTTTCTCTGTGTAATTCTCCAAGTCCATAGGATTTGTACTAATAAGTTTTTGGTGGCATTGTGGAGGTCTTCTGTAAAGAAGCTTAAGTACTTCAGTCCAACCAAACTGAGCAAATGAGCACAGCAGGGAACATACTTTGCTATGGGGTACTTCTCTTTGATCAATGCTTGCATATCTGCTGTTCATATTGGATATATTGTCATAAGACTGCTCACAGTAATCTTGAATTCTTTTATCATTCTTTCCAAGGAAATTAATGAGAACTCTAGCTGCTCTTGTGTAATTGCTTATCGATAAGAGTGTGGCAAAATTCTCTACAGGACCATCATCTAGAATGTATTATTTAAAGATTATTGTCAGTTGATCTGCGTGGGATATGTCAACAGACACTGAGTAATACTTGGATGTTTTGATTTCTTGGATAATGGTGGTGAAAACTTCTTTATGTAAGAATTCTATGAATTCTTCAGAAACAGTGGGGAATAAGTATGAAACATGAATTTTTCCCTTATTTTGTGTGCTTTTTAACGTGTTCAGCCAGAAATGTATCATACTCAACCAATAGCTCCAGTATTCCTAAGTAATTGCCATTATGCACCGAACCAACTAATTCATCACTTCCTCTTGATGCTACCCCTCTAGATGATGGAGAGGATACACTCTAGAACTTATTTATCAGTATGTTTTTTTCTGACTCCATCTGCTCTGTTAAAGTATTGTCAATTCATCCCCATTTGGTTTTACAGATAACAAATTTGGTGATGCAACTTTGATGCAGCAAGCTTGTTTTGTGCTGACTAAAATTCCTTGCAGCATGTTTCAGATCAGAGTAACCAGTTGTTGCTAGCAAAGAAGTTTACATTGCTGTTGAAACAATTTGCATGTAATGCAGAAGGCGTTTCCATTCGATGGTGAGCAGCAAAGCCAATCTCTTTTAACCTTTTCTGCATTAAATTTCTCGCGATAAAAAAAATGTCTTTGAGCATCTAGAATCGATTTTGTAGATGCTCTGAAATCAGCAGCCGTGTGCTGGTAATAAGTAATCTCCGACACACGAACAAAATTTCTGATTTCGTCACAAAGTTCTGTCCATGTCCCAATGTTTAATATATAGGATGGATTCGTATCTTCATCGCTATTGCAATAATTTATTTTTTCCTGTTGGTAGGGGCTGGATTCAATTTGATGAGGCTGACAGTATCAGCATCAAGAGTTGTGGTCTCTACATGATTGTTTTCATAGTCTCGGTTGGCGGTTGTATTTTTGGTAATTTCTGATTGAGGGCAAGGGCTCAATTTGATACGATGAGGTTGACGTTCATCAGCATTCAAAGATTTAGTGTCTATATTATTGTTTCCACTGTCTTGGCTCGTGAGGGTTTCGGCACTAGATGATGAAGCTTATAAATCCATTAGCTTCCTAGTTTTAGCTACTACTTTCTCTACATTTTTCCCCTCTTTATTTGACTTTGGCTTTTTCCAACTGCTCTTGTATTTGTACATCTGTATAACAGATGAGATGAATATTTAAAGAACAATATCTGTGTGCACAGATATATATATGAGAGAGAGAGAGAAGTGTCAGAATGAGCTATCTAATAGTTTCATAACAAATTATCGCATATCATTTTCTGTAGTTAATAATTTCAAATTTTGTACTTGGATGACTTGTATTCTATACCCTCCAATTAATGATGCTTGTCACGTTGTCAACGAATTATTTACACCTGATAAGTGGGTAAATTAGGTAGATCCACAAGTAGATCTATAGATTTTTTACAGGATAACAATTTGCAAACTCTATCCAGGAAGCACAAATAATTGATACAATATGCCCTAAAAGCTTAAGATACTGTAACTTACATTGTTAGTGATGACTGAATTCTTTTATTTAACAAAATCTGAAGCTTTTGGGGATGAAGAATCGAAAGATATAAATATCTTCAATCTAGCCTAGCAACATATTCCAGGCCTACTGTCTGTCTGATCATACTGTTACGTCTCTGGTCGTTAGTTAATTTCCGGTATAATTTCTTTCCGATGAAACTTTAGAAACACAAGTCCTTTCTTAAATAAAACTGGTTTATTCTTTCTGAATACAACTTTGCAATGCACTTAATTTCCATAGTCACGCTATAACAAACGCTATAATTCACAACGAACGACTCACGTGCTCGGCTCAATCGTCAGTCTCACTCTGTCTGCAGTTCAATTACATTACTGCCGTCACTTCTTGGCGGCTTATATACAAGATTA